GCTCTACTGTGGTGTTCTGCTCCCTGTGATCTCCTCAGCAGACCTGCTAATGTTCCAGAATTCCTTAATGTTTTATGTCAGTTGTTGTCAACCAGAAAAAATGAGGCTAAGCTTGTGCTCAAATCTTGTCCTTTCATTTCCATATCTACTTGCTTTGCCAGCCAAGTCATTACATTTCCGAAGTCTCTGCCTTGGTAGCACTCTGAAAGTAGCATCCATCATTTATCTTAGAGAACCAGAATGGAGCAAACTAGATCATCATGACTTAGCTGAGGGCCCTGCAAATTAGATATATGAATAATTTCTTTTTTTATGTAGAGAATATTGCATAACGGTTTATCTGTAAATCAGGGCGGTACTGTGACCAGAAGTTCTTTTCTCAGCTCCGAAGGAATTATAGGTCAGTAACAAGTTACGTTAACTTTGTCTGAAAAAGATTTTTCAGCCTGGGGGTTTGCACATTTTGTGCAACTACAACTCCCACTAAGACTGGGATCAGTCTTTCTTGTTTCTTGTTAAAGTTGCCATTAAATGGGTTTCTCCTTTCTCTGGATTCTAACTATTCCCCCATGAAAACAAAGTAAGACATCCCCTTCATTTTGCATACATTTCTTAAACACCAAGGACAAGGTCCCTAAGACTAGATTTTGGAAAGTCAACATAGACTATGGCCTAGAATAACAGGGCACCCAGGAGCAGCACATTGCCATGTATTATGTTGCTCTCAGTCATTAACTTATTCATGGGTATAATAAAAAGTTCCAGACTGCTGGACAGACCCAAGCTTTGAGTATCTCTACACTAAGCCCATACTCTAAGAAATGAACTACAGAGTAGGGGGGTAGTTTGCCCTGGGTTTCTAGTCGTTTTACTGACACAGAGTGGGTGAAATGTCTTTCAGCCTTTTGCACTTCCAACATTGGGATGGCTTGTTCGGCTGTGAGGTTAGTCTGTTGACTGATGAATTTGACAGCTGGCTTAGGAGAGCAGAAAGTTTAATTCGTGCTGAGTCCTGCACATCGAACATGTGACATAAGTGACCAGTTTCAATAGCCACTCCCTAACTCCATGCACCTAAAGCCATACAGAACCTTTAGCAGAGTAAATAATTAGACTCAATTCCAATGAGATTTAAAAATACAGTCACATAGCTAAAATCCCTAGCAGTACTTCAAGCTAGATGATGGGGATAGGGCACAGGGGCAAGACCCTTTCCTCTACTTCTTCATTATACTGTATGCTCAATCAACTTTTCCACCCGCTACCTAAAATTATTCTTACATAGGGAATGAAGCATAATTATTAACAGTAATAACCTGACTAATAACTTGAAAACCTCAAAGATGGTACTCCTGTCTTTTAACCATTGAGAAGTTTCACTGAGAACAGGATCAAAATAAAAGAAAGGTAGAACCACCCTTTGAGAAATCATCCATTGAATGTGCCTGTCAGTTGACAGAACCCTCCTGCATCCTCCCATAAGGAAATTTTTGTTTTTTTTTTATGGCGTTTTATGTTAAAGCAGTGCTACATTTGATTTTTTTTTTTTGTGATTCATAATAACATAATATTCAGACTTTTTACCTTTTCTTATAGAGTAGGCAAGGGTTAAAACCCCTGTTATTTTTGCTGTCTGTGTCCAGTTGCACTTCCTATCTCAAAAACACAACAGGAATTACGAAGAAATATCAAAAAAACTAGGGCAATTCTGCTTTTATACAGTCATCAAAAGAACAGCTATCCCCACTGGTAGATTCACTCTTACCTTTGTTCTGTTGACAACTGTTAATTTTGGATTTCTCATCACTTTCTCTCTTGATGAAAATAGTCACCAGGACAGATAGTGAGAGTGAATCTACCTACTAGGGCCACATACATTAAAAAAACCTAACAGGGATTCTATTCCGGAGGTCACTTCTGGCCATCTATCAGACAGGTTGGCTTGCATTGTATAAAAGTGAGGTTGAAGGCATTGTTCACTTGTAGAAAGGGGTTCTCTTCAGAAAGGGGTCATTTAAGACTCCTGTTGAACTTAGGACCTCTCTTGTCTACCAGTCCAGCTTGTCATTGTATGTTCCTTCTACAATAATTGTGTTTATACATACAATGTCTCTAAATTGTGTTTGTATCTCTAGTCCACTAGATATAGATGCTTTATTAGAATACTTTCTTAGCCCTTTGAGGAACGTAAGATTTTGGAACGCCAAAAGAATCCATTTTTTTTTTAAAGTTCATACACTTCAGTTGCTGTAACTAAGCCATTTCATAAAATAATTGGCAAAAAGCTAAATCCATTTGTTGATAAGAACTAATATTTTGACTCAAACAAAAAAAAAAAAAGTATTTTAAGTTCTTAATCGGATGATACAGGCAATTAAAAACATGGGACAAATACATCCCTTGGTCCTCAAAGGGTTAAAATCCTCTGAAACTTGTATCGTATGTGGTTATACTTATTCACATTACTTTATAGGGGTTTTATTTTTAACTCTATCCAAAAATAAGAAAACAAAGTTTGGATTATTCATACACTTTACACTACTTGCAATTCCTTTTCACAAAAGTGTCAAGCCTCAGGTGATACACAGAGTTGAAGCAAAGCTTCCTACATAAGTTGTACCTGTTTATCTGCGACCCCTCTCTTCTCTTCTAAAGCGCACAGATTAAAAAACTATTTCTGAGCTTTCAGAAGGAGGGTGCAAGGATGTGATGTCACACACTGCACAGCACTGAGTTAAGCATAATCTGAGACCTGAGTTGAGGAAATGGACACTCCCCCCTCTCTACACAGTCTCATAGGGAAACATACACAGCTGGAGCTGCCAGTCACCTGCTGAATGCTGGAGGAGTGGGGGAATGGCCTAGTGTTGAGTTAAACTGTCAGAAATGGCTCATGGAGACAGCAGAGAGAGGAGAAAGCAGCCAGAATCACACTAGGTGCTTTGGATTGAAGCTAGTACACACTATAGAGGGATATGATTTGTTGATTTTTCACTTCAGAGGTTTACAACCACTAAAAAGTTGCAAAGCATTAATAGTCCATGTTTTCAATTTTCTTCTTCAATCAACTTATGGAGACATGACAATACTGAAAAATAAATGCTAGCTATTATTAATAATAATCATAATAATCAATTTGTAATTAATATTCTTTATTAATGACTTGTAATTAAAAAGCAGTATCGCAGTTTGGAAATGCTTCTTGTGTAATTTTTGCCTGCACTTCACATACAGAGAAGAAATATAAAATTAGACAGAATAAACTTATTTCCCCAAAGGTTGTACAAAGGACATGTGGACATCTTATGTCTTATGAAGGATAGAAGATTTTGCTATCAGTATATGGGGGTCATTACAGTAGGAAAGAGGTCTATACAGTAAGACTATGTCACTTCCCATTCAATGCAAAATGACAGGGTCCCTTAAAGAACACGTGTCACCCTCCCACTGTTATATTTTACTGTTGGAGCTTGGAATCCAAACCTTGCGTAAGCTCCATTTTATTAATGGGTTCATGACTTGCTCTCCTCTTTTACCTGACAATGTTTGGGCCTGGAAACGGTCCATTTAGACCCAAGCACTGCATCTTAGGACAAAAGAGGGTAGGTCACATACCCCTCTATACTCTGAAGTACATTTCCTGTTCTAGTTAATCAGAACCTATTATATATATATATATATATATATATATATATATATATATACACACATACATACATACACACACTATATTGCTAAAAGTATTGGGACAGCCCTCCAAACCTTTGGATGCAGGTGTTCCAATCACCTCCATGACCATAGGTGTATACAATCAAGCACCTAGACATGCAGACTGCTTCTACAAACATTTGTGAAAGAATGGGTCGCTCTCAGGAGCTCAGTGAATTCAAGCGTGGTACCGTGATAGGTTGTCACCTGTGCAATAAGTCCATCCGTGACATTTTCTTGCTACTAAATATTCCACAGTCAGCTGTTAGTGATATTATAACAAAGTGGAAGCAACTGGGAACAACAACAACTCAGCCACAAAGTGGTAGGCCACGTAAAAATGACAGAGCGGGGTCAGCGCATGCTAAAGTGCACAGTGCGCAGAAGTCACCAACTGTCTGCAGAGTCAATAGCTAAAGACCTCCAAACTTCATGTGGCCTTCAGATTAGCACAACAACAGCAGCTGCATCCAAGCCTTACATCACCAAGTGCAATGCAGTGGTGTAAAGCACACCACCACTGGATTGTCCTGCTGTAAGACCCATGACCTCTGACACAGTGTCAGAGCTCCCGGGTAAGACCAGAGGTATGTGACTGACGCAGGGAAACGCAGGCTTCAGATATGTTATAAACAATATAATTTATTAACACTAACAATACAAACATAAACGCAGTGCAATACTAAAACATAACACAGTGCAAACGAACCAAACCAAACCACCCACAGATAACAGTACATACAATGCAAGCGTCGTCAGGCAGGCCGGGTCAATATCAATCGGGCAGGTAGGTACAGGGGGAGCAAGCGGAGAATGGTCGGGGTCACAAGCCAGGTTCAGCAGGTAGCGGGCAGCGTGGTACAGAGGGTCAGGCAGAGGGATGGTCAGGAACAAGCCGGGGTCAGAGCAGGAGAAGTCAGCAGAGGTCAGATCAGGCAGGGTCAGCAACAAGACAGGAACAGGAACAGGATGCAGGAACAGGATACAGGGCCCAGGAAAAACACACACCAAGGCAGAGTCTGCAGGTCTGGCCATCCCTTAAATACACCAGTATAATCAGTTCCAGGTGTTTGACTGGCTGCAAGGTTGAGTCTCTGATTGCTGGGAGCACCCGCTGGCCAGCCCTGGTACTGCAGCTCATAAGGCAGGTGAGTCCCACCATTGCTGGCCAGTCCATTCCTGACAGTACCCCCCCCTCAAGGAGCGGCCTCAGGACGCTCCAAACAGTCCTAGCTGGGCAAAATGTTCCACCGCCCGGGTCTGGTAACTGGCGGGATATCAAAGACTGGCACACCGGGCAGGACTCCGGGCAGCGGCACACCAGGCAGGGGCACACCGGCAGAGGCACATCGGGTAGAGGCACACCGGGCAGGACTCCGGGCAGAGGCACATCGGGCTGGACTCCGGGCAGAGGCACATCGGGCTGGACTCCGGGCAGAGGCACATCGGGCTGGACTCCGGGCAGAGGCACATCGAGCTGGACTCCGGGCAGAGGCACGTCGGATTACCAGGCGAAGCAGCAGGCACCGGGCCACCAGGCGGAGCAGCAGGCACCGGGCCACCAGGCGGAGCAGCAGGCACCGGGCCCCCAGGCGGGGCGACAGGCACCGGGCCCCCAGGCGGGGCGACAGGCACCGGGCCCCCAGGCGGGGCGACAGGCATCGAGCCCCCAGGCGGGGCGACAGGCATCGGGCCCCCAGGCAGGGGGACAGGCATCGGGCCCCCAGGCGGGAGCGGCGGGCGCCGGACCCCCAGGCGGAGCGACAGGTCTCGGGCCCCCCCAGGCGGAGCGACAGGTCTCGGGCCCCCAGGCGGAGCGGCGGGAGCCGGACCCCCAGGCGGAGTGACAGGTCTCGGGCCCCCAGGCGGAGTGGCGGGCGCCGGACCCCCAGGCGGAGCGACAGGTCTCGGGCCCCCAGGCGGAGCGGCGGGCGCCGGACCCCCAGGCGGAGCGACAGGCACCGGGTCACCAGGCATGACAGTGGGCTCCGAGTCAACTGGCATGACCGCTGGCACTGGGTCAGACATTGGATCGTCTGGCTGGACAGCGGGCATCGGGTCACCAGGCATCAGGTCATTTGGCTCGACAGCGGGCACCGTGTCATCTGGCAAGGCAGTGGGCTCCGAGTCAACTGGTATGACCGCGGGCACTGGGTCAGACATTGGATCGTCTGGCTGGACAGCGGGCATCGGGTCATCAGGCATCAGGTCATTTGGCTCAACAGCGGGCACCGCGTCATCTGGCAAGACAGTGGGCACCAAGTCACCAGGCACGACAGTGGGCTCTGAGTCAATTGGCATGACAGCGGGCACCGGGTCATCAGGTACCGGATTGTCTGGCTCGACAGCGGGCATCGGGTCACCAGGTATGACAGCGGGCACTGGGTCACCAGGCATCAGGTCATTTGGCTTGCCAGCGGGCACCGCGTCATCTGTCAAGGCAGTGGGCACCGGGTCACCAGGCATTGGATCGTCTGGCTCGACAGCAGGCATCGGGTCACCAGGTATGACAGCAGGCACTGGGTCACCAGGCATCAGGTCATTTGGCTCGCCAGCGGGCACCGCGTCATCTGGCAAGGCAGTGGGCACCGAGTCACCAGGTACGACAGCGGGCTCTGAGTCAATTGGCACGACAGCGGGCACCGGATCAGGTACCGGATCATCTGGATCAACAGCGGGCATCGAGTCAACTGGCCTAATAGGATCATCAGGCTGGATCAGTTCATCATGCTGGGTAGAGGCATCAGGCTGAGTGGAGGCATCAGGCTGAGTAGAGGCATCAGGCTGAGTAGAGGCATCAGGCTGAGTAGAGGCATCAGGCTGAAGAGAGGCATCAGGCTGAAGACAGGCATCAGGCTGAAAACAGGCATCAGGCTGGGTACAGGCATCAGGCTGGGTACAGACCTCAGGCTGAAGTGCGGGTGCCGAGGCACCAGGCTGAACCACGGAAGGCAGGTTTTCAGACGGCAGGCTCACCGGTTGGATACTGGCAGGATGGTATTGGTTGGAAAGAATTTTCGCTTTTTTCTGGTTTTAACTACTGGAGCACTGCAAGTAAACGCAGGTCTGCAAATGAATGGAGCAGCTGGAGACAGAGAAGAGCTGGAGGATGGAACAGGGGAGGGAACAGTTGCTACAGAGGGCTTTTTTACAGGGTTAAAGGCAGGATAGGTGCAGCGAGTGGGAACAGGGTACTGACATGCGGTAGATAGCAGGGCAGGAGGAGCTGTTGGGAATGCAGGAATAGAGCTTTGAGGAAATAGATTAGAAGCAGGACTGGGTTTTTGTAGGCTGACTGAGGCTGGGTGCAACAAATCTGTCCATGTCTGCAGTATGGGTTGAACAAAGCTGAGCTTACACAAAGCCTGTCTGACCAAAGACTGCACTGCGTTTATACAATCTCTTAGTATCTGTGGTGAACATGCAGAATAAACGCTCCAAGAAGTAATCCACATCATCCTCTAATAACCATACCAGGGACTCTACCTGGTCGGCACTAAATGGCGGCAAAAATTCATCCCTGCATTCGGGGGGGGTACCAGATGAAACCAACTCCGCACAAATCTGAATCAATGGCTGCACCTCAGAGAATTCTGTGCCCTGATCTACTAGAACATGAGCGAGCCGTATACATTCTAGCAGTTCATCCCGGGGATACTCCTTCAGAGTCTGATAAGCATACTCTCTGTTATCAAACACTAGCAGATATAAATACGCAACCTCATCCAGATCCATCCTTCCCAGCAACAAGCCAAGATGGCTTCCCTGTGCAGCCACTTCTGGTCAGGATTGGCCTTGGTGTAATGTCAGGGCTCCGGGGTGTGACCAGAGGTGTGTGACTGACGCAGGGAAACGCAGGCTTCAGATATGTTATAAACAATATAATTTATTAACACTAACAATACAAACATAAACGCAGTGCAATACTAAAACATAGCACAGTGCAAACGAACCAAACCAACCACCCACAGATGACAGTACATACAATGCAAGCGTCGTCAGGCAGGCCGGGTCAATATCAATCGGGCAGGTAGGTACAGGGGGAGCAAGCGGAGAATGCTCGGGGTCACAAGCCAGGTTCAGCAGGTAGCGGGCAGCGTGGTACAGAGGGTCAGGCAGAGGGATGGTCAGGAACGAGCCGGGGTCAGAGCAGGAGAAGTCAGCAGAGGTCAGATCAGGCAGGGTCAGCAACAAGACAGGAACAGGAACAGGATGCAGGAACAGGATACAGGGCCCAGGAAAAACACACACCAAGGCAGAGTCTGCAGGTCTGGCCATCCCTTAAATACACCAGTATAATCAGTTCCAGGTGTTTGACTGGCTGCAAGGTTGAGTCTCTGATTGCTGGGAGCACCCGCTGGCCAGCCCTGGTACTGCAGCTCATAAGGCAGGTGAGTCCCACCATTGCTGGTCAGTCGATTCCTGACACACAGACCCAACTTTCTGACACTGGGCCCTACATTGCACCCCAGAATTCTTTGGTAGTCTTCAGATGGTGAGCAGTGGAGACGTGTTCTCTGGAGTGACGATTCACACTTCTCTGTCTGGAAATCAGATGGAAGTGTCTGATTTTGGCGGTTGCCAGGAGGACGGTGCTTTCCTGACTGCATTATGCCAAGTGTAAAGTTTGGTGAAGGGGGGATTATGGTGTGGGGTTGTTTATCAGGGGTTGGGCTTGGCCCCTTAGTTCCAGTGAAGAGAACTCTTAAGGCATCAGCATACCAAGACTGTCAGGGATCACGGCTCCTCTCCCTGCGCACGCGCACTGGCGGCAGATCACGCCGGGACACAGGCACTAGGTCCCGGCGTGCCGCGGCTGACAGGACGCCGCGCATGCGCAGTAGGAGCCGCGGGCGCGCCTCGGGCGTCCATTGACAGCCCGGGGGCGCGTCCTGGCTGGCCAATGACAGTGCAGGGCGCACTATTTAAAGATGCCCTGCACTGTCACAGATTGCTGCAAGGTCTATCTGTGATCCTGAGTCCTGTACCTGTTTTGTGACCCTGATTGCCCTGACTACATTGCCATCTCCTGTGATTTGACCCGGATTGCCCTGACTACGCTGCCTTCTCCCGTGCCTTGACCCGGATTGTCCTGACTACTCTGCCTTCTCCTATCCTGACCCCCGGCTTGTCTGACCATTCTGCGGACTGACTTACCCTGCTGACCCTGCGTGTGACCTGACTACTCTTCGCCTTCCGATTCGGTACTTCGCTTACCCCACGGGACCACGGCTCGTGACCATCCTGCTAGGTCCCGCCGTCATCTTCACATCTGGCTCCCCCGCTACCTGCATACATCCCCGGAGGCTCCCTCTGCCACTGGTGGGCCTGCTCGGAGGTCGTGACCTGCCCCTGGTCTGTTACAAGTCCATCCCCACCATCAGGGGCCCTGGTGAAAGCACAGACCGGGCTTAGACTCCACGCTCTGGGTAGGTCTGTCCAGTGGGTAGCCTGAGGCACCACCTGGCGGATCCTAACAAAGACATTTTGGATAATTTCATACTCCCAACTTTGTGGGAAGAGTTTGGGGATGGCCCCTTCCTGTTCCAACATGACTGCTCACCAGTGCACAAAGCAATGTCCATAAAGACATTGATTAGTGATTTTGGGGTGAAGGAACTTGACTGGCCTGCAGAGTCCTGACCTCAACCCAATAAAACGCCTATGGGATGAATTAGAAGGAAACTATGAGCCAGGCCTTCTTGTCTGACATCAGTGCCTGACCTCACAAATGCACTTCTGGAAGAATGGTCAAACATTCCCATAGACACATTCCTAATCCTTGTGGACAGTAGTGATGGGCTTTATGTTCGAGTGGAATGTAAGTTTGACTCAAACATGGGCTGTTTGTGTGCTTGCTGAACACACAGATGGTAAGGGTGCGCCCCACAAATGCACTTCACCCTGACAGTGCATTTTGATTGGCCAAAGCAATGCACCTGACTACAGGTCAGGTGCAATGCTTTGGCCAATCACAGCTCACGATGACGTCACAAGGGGTGTGGGTAACCCCTCCCCCTTGTGATATCATCACAGTATTTAAGAACTGTCATTGCGGCACAGCTGTCAGATGGCAGGAGAGAGCGGAATGTTTTTTGTTTTCTGTTTTTCAGGTTGGCAGTGATGGCAGGCATCATGATTGATGTTAGATCTACTTCAGGGGGCATTTTTTTTTTTTTTTGTTTTCAATAAAGGGCTGTCAAAGACTGTCTCCTGTCCTTTTTTACTACACTTTTTATTGTGAATTGGCAGCAGTACCATGTACCGCATACTAATCCACATGGGGGGAGGGTCTGAAGGCCCCCTTGTTAAAGGGGGCTTCCAGATTCCGATAAGGCCCCTGCCTGCAGACCCCCACAACCCACTATCACGGTACCACGCTTGAATTCACTGAGCTCCTGAGAGCGACCCATTCTTTCACAAATGTTTGTAGAAGCAGTCTGCATGCCTAGGTGATGATTTTATACACCTGTGGCCATGGAGGTGATTGGAACACCTGAATCCAATAATTTGGAGGGTCAGCCCAATACTTTTAGCATTATAGTATATATATATATATATATATTATTTATATTAGGGGGTTGTGGACAAGAGATTTATTGTTTAGAACATCTCTATACTAGCATACTTTTTAAGACTAATATTTTAGCTAGCAATGGTTTTGATTGATGGGCAATAGTTTTTTAAGCAACATTTTTAATACATTTTGTGATAAGATATTGTTTTGATGACACACATTTTGCACATAATCATGTATAGAATTGATTGACACTTGTTTATTCAGCATTAGTATATTCTGTTAAATAGATAAAGTTTAGACACTATTTGGTGTGTTAGAGTTACTTTGATTTGCACAGATTGTTATACAGAACTTAGATAGCGCTGCAATTTTTTCAGATTTTTTTATAGACTTGAGGGTGTGAAACACTTGTTAAGTACGGACCGGCTACTTACACATGATTATAGGTGTGGTTGCGGACATAGTTGCACCAGAGTTCATCAAACCTCCTCGACTGTTCCTTTCTCTGTCTTGTGCACTGGTAACTGCCACCATTACCAATTCTGCATGTTCTCCTTACAACATATAGTACCAATATGGACTAAACCAATGCCAGTCATGGAGAGCCACACAGAGTGGTCACTGACCTCCACTATGCAATAATACAGAAAGAATGTCTGCGCACACATCTAAATGGCATACAGTATATATAGGTAAAATATATAAGGAGCTAGAGTGGTGTGACCCCATGTTAATTCTCCAGATTGAACCCTGTGAACATTACATTGCACGCCATGTAAGGGGCTTTTCTAGCTCATATTTTCACAGAGGCCAGGCAGAATTTATAGTGAAATAAAATGACAGCATTCTGTACGAGCTACAGCCAGGGATTCAGACTGACTGGTCACCCAATATTCCAAAGGTAATGCTACTCACTTTGAAGAGTGAATCCGATCATTTGCAGATGAGGATCTTCATGTTTGACATGTTTGGTCTTTAACCAGTTTCTGTCTTGGGGCAGTTTTAAAATTTTTTACACACATGTTTAAAAACCAGATTTTTTGTTAGAAATGACTTAGAACCCCTAAACTTTATATACTTTTCAAATTTTTTTTTAGGCCCTGGAAATTATCTTGGTGCCTTTTGCAATTTTTTGTCATGCGATATCTGCGTGGCCGTTTATCAAATGCAACTTTTCAGGAACAAATACACAATGTATTTGTCTTTTTTTGGTGAAATACAACAGATGAGGCTGTGTTGAGTATATAGAAGCCAAACATATCAATCCTTGAAATTGCGAGTTGGCCCTTGTGGTCAGTGCTTGGAAGTGAGGGGGGCATTTCTGCCATTTGTAGGATTCTTTTCACCTGAGTGAAGACCACCTTATCACGTGCACAAGTGTGTAGGTTTGAAGTCAACCGCTATATGAGTTTGGACATTAATATTGATTCATTGATTCATTTATGTGCATTTATGTTTGTTGGACTTTCATTCATTCACTGTTGACACTGGTCACTTGGACTTGTTTTTTATACCCCTCCTGAGGGGTCACTCATTAATCACTTTAAGTCCCTTTTGGGGGACAGGGGGAGGTTTGATTTTTTAACCTCTTACCTACAATACACCTCCCCCAACTACATACAGATCCATACATTGATCTACAGTACACCTCTCCCAGTATCTACCTAAAGTACACCTTCTCCAGTACCTACCTACAATT